CCTCCCTTCTCCCTCCTCCTCCTGCTGGCCGGGGAGAGCGCCTTCGCCAAGGCGGGTCCAGGTCGGCTGGAGCGGGGCCAGTGGGGAGCTCCCCTGGCGGAGGCGGGTGGGGGCCGGAGGCTTGGCTGAGCAAACCGCTGGCCGGGATCCAAAGGCCAGCATGCCTTCCCTCCCTCTGACATCTGTCAGGAAGGGCTTTCCTGGCGCAAGCCAGCCCAGGGTGTTCTCCCCCCCCCGTGGGCGAAAAGCAGGGCGGGTCCTGGTTCAGAGCAGATGGGGTTTGTTTTGGAAATATTCCCCCCCCTCCCCAGAAAGAAAAGAAAGGGGAGGCCACCGAGCACGAATTGAGGCATGCCTGCCGACACACTAGCGGTCAATTGTCGGTTTCAGCCAGGAGGGAAGAGGGGCTTCCTCGTACGTAAGGGACCCGGTGAGCCCTCCCTTCACAGGCCATGGCCAGCTCCCTCTAGGCAGTCCGTGCAGGTGGGGCATCGCCGGGTGTCCCTACTGGGGAGCGGTTTCGAAATGGAGCCCTTGCAGGATAGGGCTCCAGAAGGAGATTTGGGTGCGGAAGGGGGTGTGTGTGCCTGGGGACACCCGTTGGATCCTCCCCTTGTCAACAGCTAAATAATCCTGAGGTCAGGAGGCCGTTCGGCTGTGGCTGTGCTCCTCCACACAGCTTCTCCAGCAGGTTAAGGTTTGGGAAAGGTGGGGCTGGGTTCAAATCAGGCCCATAAACCTTCTGAGTATAAGAGCTGGGAGGGGGGATCACAGCATTTTAATCTATACCTCCCCAGTGGCCAGAGGCTTCCTCGCACTCTGGCTCAAACACATTTTTTCCTCCTAAGGACACAATGTTGAATTCCGAATTCGGAAGGTGGCCACAGGGGACCCCTTAGGAAGCCACCTCCCCCGTTGTGGGGGTTGGTTGCAAAGCTGGAGGGAAGACACCCCCCCAAAAAAAACCCCTCTGTTCCTCACTCCGACCAGTTATGGTCCTTGCGCCTTCCGCCTCTTTTTATTTGAGGAGGCTGGCAGCGTTTCCGTTGCTTTGTGATGG